TCGATGTTCACTTTCATGGGGAGAAGGTTCGTTCTGGTATTATCACTCCATTGTTTGTGGAGACCAGTCATCAGGTTGTGGATGTTTTCACCAAATCTGTCACTCTATTCATTCTCTGGGACTCCGTCATCAAGTTTGGCTTAGTTGATATTTTTGCGCCCAACTTGAGGGAGAGTGTTGGAGTATAATCTAGTTTATTAGGATTTTTTTTTTCTTTTTTACCTTTACTTTGACTTTATATTTTTGCCTAGACCACAAGGATGTTTAGGTTACTTTGTATTATTATTTGATTATATATATATGGGGCTCTACTTTTAGTTTGAGTATCCCTTTTTTACTCACGTTTATTTCAAGTTAGAACGACTAGACTAAGATCTGTACAGTGTCTTGAGTATGACATACATTCTCATTAGGATCGAAACACTCCATTATAGCATGTATTTCATACTACATGTGCTTGACGACAATTAAGGAGGTGAAGGAATAGATCCTTGCTTCCTCACTGTGTGAGCCCTCCAAGCAGTTTTACATAACCAGATCATTTTGTTTAACCAAACATTCTATGTACTCTTTGACTTTTGACTATGTCATAAAGTGAAAAAATTAATGCTCAACTACTTTGGCATGTTACTTACGGCCATGAGAGATTTGGCCTTTCGAGATATTGCTGGGAAAACAGTTATTTTTGAACTAAGTGACATGAGGGTGAAAGGAAGACCATTTGAAATATCCCGCAATATATTCAATGTCGACAACTTTGGGCGCTAGTTTAGATAGTGACAAAGTGTGAATGTATAGGTGAAAGCTTCGAGGGATTATGCATGCTCTTATATTGTGAGAGATTAAAGATGTTTGAACCAGTGTATCCGAATGGGTCTAAAGTACTTGAGACACCATTTTCATTTTTTTAGGGTTAATGTCTCTATGTTGGCTATGTAGAGTTTCTAGTGTAGAGCTCCCAAATTGCAAGTGTGCTCAGCAGTCGCATGGCCCATTAGCCTGTATGAATTGATGTTGATGTATATAATGGATTGAGAGAGATGATAGTATCGTACCCACCACGTGTGAGTGAGAGATGTTAGATATTGGTTGGGTCATGGACTTGAACAAGGGCGCCCATGGTGGGTTGACCCACATTAAAAAATACCCAAAAGGACATGTCTTTTGGAGGTATCTTTTACCAAGAGATATCCTTTATTAAACGGTATCCTTCACTCAAAATACATGTTTGCTAAATATTAACAGACATGTCTCTATAAGATGTGTCTTTTAATGACACCTATTAGTTGTCTATATAAACCCAAGGCAATCCAATAGATGATAACTCTAATAATTCATCCAACGTTAAACTCTCCTGTTCTCTTCTCTCTCTCCCTACATAACATTTGTAAGGTTTTTGTGCTCTAAAAAATCTGGTGTTGATTTGTTTTATGTAACAACACCATACTACTCGAGCAATTAAAGAAAAGACGTTGATTTGAATTCTAAAGCATGTGGAACATCCTCAAACGGTTTTTGGATTAAAGCGAATAAGGTATGTTTTTAATCCTACGCTTCCACAATATGTTATACGATTCACAACAAAAACTTTCTAGTATACCTGGTCTTCGCACAATAATCACATTTTAAAGTATCTTTGGCAACATCGTCACCCATCTCAGTAGACTTGGATTGGACTAAACTTAAGTCGCGTTGAGGACTAATAGTCAGCGCAGACTATTCTAAGGAAGAGCATAAGCCATAGCAATCCTTTAACCCTATTCCTAATGAACATCAGCATTTGCCTTTTGGAGGAAATGGACTACAACCCAAAATTTAAATACGAATTTGATCATACTCAATATTAATACCAACAAGAAAGTCATACACTTGTTCTTTCTCCACCATCTGCTACAATTTTGCATTATCAAGTTCTTACTACAAGATAGTCAGATCTGCATAATAAACTATCGGGACCTTATCCTTATCCTTCTGGTTAGTCTCCTGGACATTCTTCCAAAAGTCATATGCCTTAGCATCATTGACTCTTTGGGAATATATGTGGGTCACAATAGTCCACATCTTATGTGTTGTATAGAGCAACAGAAAACCACAATCGATAGGGTGTTCCATTGAGTGCCCTCAAAAGGCTCAAAAAATTCTGACTCAAATCGGCACTGTAGAAAACCAAAATACATTGAAAAATTCAAAAGATACATCAAATGGCTTCAAAAAATTCCAGAAAAAAATAACCATGATTCTCAGAAGAGAAATTCGAATCTGTTCGTCACTTTTCCAAAAATTTCTAACACGTTTGGTGCTGACATCAGAACCAGATGCTGACATCAGCATGTCAGATTTTGATAGTGACTACTGCTGGTTGCACGGGTTCATTTCTGATGAGTTCTGACAACTTTGAGATCGTTGATTTTGATTGATGTTCTGATACTAAGTTAAATTGTGCAGTCCTTAGCGTTTTGGATAAAAATAGAAGAACAATAAAGGAAAAGAGGAAGATAATCAGAAAAGAGTGTTAAGTTACACAACTACACCCAACTTTTATATATGGTCGGAAAATATTAAAATTTTGTTAAGCTAGAATTACATAGGTTTCTAATGTGGTCATGGCAGGCTGGACAGCTTCGTGGGGCTTATAAAGTGGTTATAGGTTTCTAGTTTGTGCTATGTTCTGTTTCATATAGTTTGTTTTCAGGCTGGACAACTTGTCCACCTTTTCTATGATCATGTACTTCCTTACAATGATTATTATTAATAATCTATTTCTTATCAAAATATAAAGCGCAGGATAAACATTTTTATTTGCAGGTATTCATTGCAGATTACTTCTTCAGATCAAATTTGGGGGAAAACTTTTCCTATGCTGATATACAGGTAATCATAAGTCAATTTTGTTTTTTTTCTCCTTTCACTTTCCTTTTTCAGGTGTGTAATTAAGAAAACAATACTCCACTCATAAAAAAATAAAAGAAGGTACTATAGACTGGTTGCCAGGATTTTTTTATTTTAATTGCCTGAGTGAATTTCATGTCATTTAAAACTATGGAATGTTGATTTGTATTGTCAGGATGAATATGATTGTTTTGTGTTGCAAAGTGCATGTGGTACCTTACATAAACTTCATGTTTCATTGATTACTCTTTTAAGTGCGTGATTATTCCTCTCTTTCATATCTAATTCCATCCATATGTTCAAGGTATTTAAGTAAAAACAGATAATTATTTTCTTTGAGCTTATATGCCTCTCATTACTAACTACTACCATCATGTGCAGCACTCATGAAGTTTAATCTTACATATATTTATGATTCAGGTCGAAGTGAAAATTGATAACTCAAGGGAAGCATCAAAGGACGATGTCCTAGCTAACTTTACTATTGAAGGTGCAGTATTTGACACGGGAAGTTGGTATAGAAGTGGTGGACATGTTGATTTGCTTTCAACAACAGTCGCTAAGTTGGAACTCAATCCACCTTCTTGGGAAAGTGTTGGTTTTGAAGGATATCTACTTGGGGGGAAACTGCAAATGCCTAAGCTTTGGTCCGCAGAGCAAGTGAGGGTTCTCAGCTCATTCAGCTTGTCTTTCTAATTGCTGCTTCAGACTTGTGCAGTTTACTTCAATTTACAAATGGCTTTCTCATCATAGACGTTGACTATTATGAATTTTCCATGATTTGTCAAGGGTGTGTAGAATTACCTGGGTTCTCTGCATGTAGATTCTAGTGGCAGGAGGCTAGCCTTTTAACTTATTTCTCCTTTATTGTTTACTGCTAAATTTGCTTGTTCCACTGCACACACTTGCTTTTTTAAATAAGCATGCAAAGTATTTGTTCTTTCTTGTTTATTCTTTGCTCTCTCTCAGTTGGAAAAATGAGGTATAAAGATGACCTAAGCTCGTTATTTTGATAACAAATCTTGAATGAGACATTTCATTAATGGAAGTTGGTAATATGAAAGGGGAGAATCTAAGTCTTCTGCATTCCAGTTCAACAAGTTCGGATGATTAAAAATGCCATGTCATTGTTTATTTACAAGTTTCATAATTATTAGTCCCTAAAGTGAAAGCCATGATGTGGATTTTAGATGAACAGATTTTATGGCTGTTTAGTTATCACACCAACAGTGTCTAAATAGTTCACCAAAACTTTTTACGAGAGAGATTCAAACATCAACTACAAGTGAGCATCGAAAAAAATTAGTCAATAGAAATTCGTTTAGTTTCCTTTTCAGAGAATTTTTTGTGATAATTTCTTCTGTTTGAGTTGAAATAGACTTAAAGATGAGAAAGAGTTCCTCATAATAAAGAGAAGAAAAATTAATACTAACAAATCCCAATTGTGTGCACAGTTTGCTATGGGCACCCCTGACGTGATAAATTTTAACTCGTTAGCATTTTGTTTTTATGTTATCTACTGTGTTTCTTTTTAGATTTCAAGTTGGACATCACAACTGAAAAACAGAAGGGTAAAACTTGAAAACCTGACAGGTACTTTTAATGAATCCAGAGGCCCATAGTTCAAGATAGGTCTCACTTTTCCCCCAGAATCATGAAACTTGGTTGACTGAGAATTTCCTTCCTTTTTTTGGTTTCAATTTCAAGTTTTGTTATTCCTTCTCATATTTTGAATTACTTTTGCCATTGTTCATGTATTCATTTTGCCTAAGATCCCATGTTTGATTGTTTGCTTCATTGACAGCCAAACCTTTACACTCTTGTTGTCACCCTCAAAGATGCAGCAGGCCAGGTCATTGATTGTGAATCATGCCAAGTTGGTATACGGCAAATATCAAAAGCCCCAAAGCAACTACTTCTAAATGGACATCCAATAATAATAAGAGGGGTAAACAGGCATGAGCATCATCCATGTATTGGGAAGACAAACCTGGAGCCCTGCATGGTTAAGGTGATGCCTCCCTTGGCTATAATAATCCCCTGCATGGTTGCAATGTTGCAGTTGTCTGTATTGATTCTATTTACCAGAAGAAATTTCCTATTCTTCTTGTAGGATTTGGTTCTTATGAAGCAAAACAATATTAATGCTGTCAGAAACAGCCATTATCCCCAACATCCAAGATGGTATGAGTTGTGTAATTTGTTTGGCATGTACATGATTGATGAAGCCAATATCGAAACACATGGATTTTATTATTGTGGGCATCTAAAGCCTCCTACACAAGAACCAAGTTGGGCTTCATCTATGTTGGACCGCGTAGTAGCTATGGTGGAGAGGGACAAAAATTATCCATGCATTATTTCTTGGTCCTTAGGAAACGAGGCAGGCTATGGACCTAATCATGCTGCTCTTGCAGGTGTCAGATTTTTCCATTATTTGTAACTTTACTCTTCCTTAGTTTGGATGCAACTTCATGTAGCCAGAGCCCCGACATTTTTTAAGTTAAGCCATGACAATGGTGATTACAAGAAGTTGTCTGGGATCTGAAGTCTGAAGGAAAGAAGGGTGCAGTGAGATATAGAAAAATTTCAAACGATTTTAATATTCTCAGATTATTCCATCTGTGCTCAATATTTAGGCCGTGCATTTAACCACACACCCCTCCCCCCCCTCAAAAAAAAACAAAAAAAAAAAGCCCGGCCCGGCCTCCAGATTAAGGTGGTATGAAAGCTCAGGTTCTTTGGATGATGGTTTTTTTATGTCATACTAATAAAATAAGGGATATACGTCGGTAAACCGTTGAATTTGATTTTTTTATGTTTTTCAATAAGTCAGGTATAATTCAATTCTTTTCCTGTAGCTCTCTGAAGATTTTATGTTTTCTCAACCACTTATTAGACACGGTGTTTTACATTTCAGGTTGGATTCGGGGGAAGGATCCATCAAGGCTGGTGCACTATGAGGCTGGTGGATCCAGGACCCCATCAACAGATATTGTGTGCCCCATGTATATGCGTGTTTGGGACATAGTGAAGATTGCGAAAGATCCAGCTGAAACACGACCTTTGATATTATGCGAGTATGTTATACTTTCAGTGTTCACAGTCTAGAAAACATGATAAGTACTTTTACTCTTCTCGATTACACCATTTAACGTTCTCAAAATACTTGCTCAATTGGCAGGTATTCACATTCAATGGGAAACAGCAATGGGAATATTCATGAATACTGGGAAGCAATTGATAATACATTTGGTCTCCAGGGAGGCTTTATCTGGGAATGGGTTGATCAGGTTGGAAATCTGCCTTTTATTGTACACATTGAGATAATCGATCTCAAAAATAATTGCCCTTTGATCTATTCCAAATTCTTTATAGGTATTCTATACTTGGAAGATGAAAATGAAATTAATTGAATCTCATCAGACAAGGCTCCCTCATTATAATGGCATATGTTGTTGGATGACTCAGATCCTCAACCTTCTTTGAACTAATGAACTCAGCACCTACACCTATTGGACTACTGATGATTCGAATTAACAGTAATTGTAGCAATGGCCACATGGGAAGTAATTTACATTGTTCAATCATCAGAAAACCATGGTTTAAGAAGCACGGAAACTTCTAAAAAAGTCCACTAGTCTGCGTACAATGGGTCAGAGGCCGACACTTCTCAGACTTATGTCTGACACCTCTTTGGGCATGCCCATGTGAAAAGATAGAATGTTGCAAACATATCTAGAACTTCTAGGACATTCAGCACATGGGATTAACAGAATTCGGAAGTTAAGTTTCGCTTTCTTATTGCATGAACAAAGTAAAATTGTTCATATAAATTGATTATGTTCCATCATGTATCAATCAAAGGAAGGGCCTGGGAGAATGATATGAATTGTTGTATTTATGTATTGCTATGGTAGTGTCGGCCCCTGCATTAGGCCACTAAGGTTATTGCCTAGGGCCCCCAAACAGGAAAAAAATTTGGGCCCCCCAAAAAAATTGTATCAAATACTACTAGACTTAATTTTTGGACTTAATTTGAGAACTTAATGTAATACATTTTGTCCATTCAATTAGTAGTAGGACCTAATATTGAACCCCCAAACAATAGAATAACCACAATTTATTAGCTGCCAAAATTAGGTCCCCAAAATAAATACAAGTAGTATTATTATAAAACTTCTAAAATTTCTTACAAAAAAATTTAGGGCCTTAAAGTTCGACATGATTTTTTTATCTTACCCAATGTTTATGGTATATGGAAAACAGTTAATATCATATTTTTCTATCTTATTATCAAAATCATCTAACTTATTTTCTATCAACTAATAGTTTTTAGATTAAATTTGAGTTCACTTCTAATTTAGGATAGATTTTTGCTCGCTTATTTTTTAAAGCGCACAAAAAGACTATAGAATAGAGTAAGTAGAAATATTTCACTATCTGCAACTAACTATAGCCGTATTTGCTAAATTTTTCTTATTAAAACATCTCTTTGCTTCTCCGAAATATTAAAGCATCCTTCATATATTCCAAGACCAATAAACTCATACAAATTTTAAATTTTAAATTTATTCTATTTTTTTTGTTAGCTTGTCTAAATTTTTATTATCTTTCTCTTTATCTTTAATAGATAACTATCTTAATCACATTTAATTTGGTCGAGGATTCAACTTTTGTTAATGAATTTTAATGTATAAAACTAGAATTTAAAAATTCAATTAATATTTTTGAATCTCAAAAAGAAAAAAAGATTAATAAATAACATATTTAATTTATTTGAAAATTATTTGTTAATATATTATTATAATTAATTTAATTTTTTTTGCCTGGGGCCCCACATATGTTGGGCCACCCCTAGGTATTGTGATTCTTAATATCAAAATTCCATCTTGCATGGTAAAGTTTAGTTTTACATTGTATATAATATGACTTTTACATATATAGATAAGCTAATACGATCATGTATGTATGAAGAACATATTATCTTATTGATGTGCCCTCTGTCAGATTTGTCCTATTTCTATAGGGTTTGTTATGTAGTCTTGTCCATTTTTTGAGTCTGTATCTGTGCTTCTGCATCTGTGCTTCGTAGATGATGTAGGTCAGTGGTAAAGTCAGGAGGATCATGGTGCCTTCATTTGGTTTCATAGTGAGTGTGGTTAAGGAAAGCTTGTATATATAGGATTTTAAGGGTCAAGTCTTGCGGGCTTTGGGGGGCAAGGATCAAAATTTCTTTTCTTTTCCATTGAAATGACGAAACTTTCCCGTTTCTATGGATACTAAAACGAATGAGGGATTAAATATCAAAATTCCTATAGCTATTTCAGAATGATTCGACCAATGTTTTGTAACCAAATCTTCCAATTTTTTCTATTCCTATTCTATTTGTGTAATGTTTCTGAAACATTTTCAAAATGCTTCTGTTTGTGAGCTATACCCCGAGGCAAAATTTTGATGCTTCTCGGGCAGTGTTGCTGGAGTTGGCTTGGTTTAGAAACTTATCGAATACTGGAATTGCAAACAATTAGTCACTGAAAATTATGGAGAGCAACTAATAATGGTGTTTGGGGAGTCGATCAAAGTGCAGAAAGAGTGTGAGAGAAAAATGGGTAATTAGGGACTTGTCTTCGGATGATATGATAGGTCAATCATTTACTTCAATGGTGGGGTGGAGTTTGGGGTTTGAAAAACAAGGCTATTTTGGAGCTAACAATTGCCCAGTAACTGTAACTTTGTTCTGTAAAAGGGTTTTGGATTGTTTGGATATGATATGGTGTATAGGGGAAGCGCTTGCTAAGTTTTAAGGGCTTTAGAATTGTTAACCAGGCCTATCTGTTATGAAAATTGCAGAAAGAAAGAGAGGAAATCAGAAGTTTATGTGTTCTCCGAACTTTACTGTTTTCTTTTAAATTGAATGAGTTTGGTGTAGTTCTCCTAATTCTTCAAGGACAAAGACTGGACAAAAGGAAATTTTGATACTTTTTTATCATTAAGAATACTTTAGACACATTTAAGACAAATCATCATAACAGAATTGATCCTAAATAAAACCAATGGAACATGGCCCTTTGTTTACAAAAAAGTGGAAATTTCATTAATTATTTGACCCAGACCCTAATAATACCTTCAGATAACTATGTCTGTTGCATGTTAGCCGGAAAGCCTGGAACTTCAAATAAACCACAAACTTGACTTCATAAGATCTTAATGTCAAATTCTTAGTTTTTCTATTTTCATGATATCATGCTTTGCATCAATTTGGTACAGCAAATTCTTCTGTTAATAGTGGTTTTATGCAATTTTTTAACACGCTGTAGAGTCTACTTGACTTTATGCAATAAAAGGCTTGACAATAATTAGTTCGTGGTGAATGAACTTTGGTAGTTAATTTTGGAATTTAAACAAAGGAGAATGTCATTCTTGCTTTAGGACTGAACTAAGAAAGCTTTTTAATTAGAACACGAATGCACTATTCTGTTTGACTACCTGAATTCTAGATTGGGCCGAATCCTGAATTGGGCTTGACCCACCTTGTAGCTGATTTGGGTCTAACTCATTAATTGGGCCTAGCCCAGTTAAATCTGGGCTTGTCAGCTGATATTCAAACATTCTGTGCTATGTCTCTATGAATTTAACATACTTAATTATATGGTGAACTGGCCCTTGGTCGAATCCACTGTGAGTTAGTTTTCTCTAAAGTTAGTTTTCTCTAAAGTGTCATTAAGTTTCACATTATTAATTTTTTAGCTTTTTCTGATTGCTGATGTGATTGGGTGTATTGTTTATATGATATAAACAAAAGAATTGGCTGTGTACCTTCTAATTTAAAAAAGTAGAGATGAAGATTGACTCGAAATGGCTAAGAATGTGAGAAAATTATAGGAAAGAGAACCATTTGTGATTTGATAAGCTGAATTATTGCACACAGTTGCAACTTGCAGTTTTAAACTTCACAAAGAATCCAGTTAGGAGTTCTTAGTTTATATTCTTAAAAGTATAGGGTAATAATATAATTACTCATAATGTCAGTTTATTATAAATATTATAAATAAGAGAAGGGAAACGTAGCTCACAGACTGATTATTCTCATTTCTCTCATTCTTTTCCTTTCTCTTTAGCTTCTTTTCATCTTCTCTCCCTCTAACAGTGTAGTTTTTACTTCTTAACTTGGTATTAAAGTATTGATTCTAGTTTTTTTTGGACATCAATGAACAGTGCCAAGAGTGAACAGTACTGTCGATGAACAGTACGATTTTTTTTTTGTGCAAACAAATCTTTGTTCCAATGGCAATTTCTTTTGGGACAGTTTCAATACACACAAGATAGGTGCGATTAGATTCCAGGAAGTGGGATTTCTAATAGCCAAAGGTTTGTTGTTGGTTTTGACATGAAATGTATGAGTTTTTGGTGTTCAACTACTATTGTTCCGACGTTGAACAGTGATCAGGGCTACTCTAAGTTGCTCCAATTTGTTGTTGTTTTGCCCTATTTTGGCTTATGACTTGTGGGTTATTGGTTGCGGTTGAGGCTTTATGGTGGGTTCACTTCAGTGCACTGTGTTGCTAAGTTCGGTCTATTATTTGTTAATATTTGGTTGTTAATTTAATTCCAATTTTAGTATTCTATTGGTAGTTTCTACAGTAGTTAGTGTGATTAGTGACACTTGGTGGATTAGTGGGTTGTTTGTGGTTTGATTTTCTTGGTTCGACTTTGCATAATTACTTGTGGGTTTCTAATGTGACTTTGAATGCTAGTAATGATGGTGTTCATGATGGCAGTTGTGATCCACTCCATAATGCTAGTCGTAGTGTGGTGGTCTATACACAAGTCATAGTGAAAGTGGTGGTTGTTTTGGTTGTGTTCATCGCTCTAAGTGGTATTGTACTTATTGTGGTGGCACATAAAATATTGTGAATTATTGTTGGGATAAGTATGGAAGACCAACATATGCTAATCAGGTTTCTAATGACACTTTAGGTTCTCTAGTACATCAAATTTCTGCCAATGACTCAGTTGCATCTACTATTGATTCTCATGATGATCTCTTTCGGCTTCGTCAGCTCATCTACCAGTTATCTTAACTTTCTAAACATATATCTGTTCCTACT